TATACGTATCACTCCCTAATGGCTTATACCGTTCTTCTCCGAAACCTGTCGCCGAACGAACAACAAAGCATCCGCGCCTACCGGAACTACGCAAACTCCGCGGAACTCGCCTATCAACATCTGCGAAGCATTCATCAAGCATCCGACAGCGTTACACAAAGCCGACTCATGGCACAACTGACAACAGTTCAAATGCAACCTGGAGAAAAGGCCATGCCTTACATCAGTCGCTGTCAAGGACTACGCGACAGACTCATTCGCTGCGGAGGAAACTTATCTGAAGAAGCTTTCGTAACCGTCGTTCTTGCCGGCCTTGGACCTCAATGGCGCACCACCCGTTCACTTCTTCGCGCTCACGGTCGACTCTCCGAAATGCATCTCTGCGCCGAACTTCACGCCGAGCAGCAGGAAATGGACCTGTTCGAAGAACGCAACAACAAAAGGCATCATCAACCAGTCGTTCTTTACACCAATCGACGACAGCCACGTTACCAAAACCGAGGACACGTACCTCCTTATTGTCATCTGTGTCGGACTTCAGGACACACACGCTTCAACTGCCTTCAGCAACGACGACAACCAGCACCATTCTCTCGTCCTTTGCGACCCGCGCCTTCCCACATCGCGTCAACTCAACAACGACCCACTACCGCCTCAACGACTACTTCAACGCGACCGACTACTTCCACTTCGGGACCTGCACAGACATCAAGAATCGTCGCCATGGCACGAACAACAGAGTCAAACATCGACTCGTGTATTACCGGCTCTCCACCGACTTACAGTCCTGATGAGCAACCGTCACCACCACCGTCGTCTCTTAACGTGAATCCAACGTACGCCGCCATCGCGAACAGTGCACCCACCGGACCAGACACATGGTTCCTCGACAGCTGTTGCGGACATCACATGTGCTCTTCATCACGATTTCTTCAGCGGGAACGACGTCTTCCGCGAGACGTCATCATCACCATCGCCAACAACGAAAACATGCGCACCAACAAACAAGGAGTCGTGGAGCTTCAGTCAAACGAAACAAACGTTATCCTCCAACTAAACAAAGTACTCGTCGTCGACAACCTCGGCTTCAACTTACTGAGCGTCAGCCAACTCATGTCGAAAGGCGTTCACCTGGAGTGCGACTCCGACGCCCTGGAAATCCGTCTTTACCACGGAAAAGGGGGGGTCTTCATCGGCCGCGCAATCCAACAAGATGACGTGTTCGTCCTCGATTTCGTCCCCGACAAAGGCACCGCAGACTGCGACGGCATAGTCGCTCTCGCACCTTGGACGCATCCGCCAGACCTCGACCCGAACTTCAGTCCTGACGGCTTCTGGTACTCTCGTACCATTCCCGAAGCTGAACGTACCAACGCGCTTGCCGTCCTGCAAACACAAACAACAACACCTGAGTCAGCACCCGTCATCGAAACAACAACTGCACCCGTCACAGCACCAACAACCACCGAACACGCAGTTGAAGAACCAACCGTCGTCACGGAACAACCTTCAGAAACTCCACAGCCCGGTCCCTCCGTCGCACCACCACCTCTCATCATCGACACGCCACCAACAGCCGCCCAACAGTTAACGCCAGCACCACGCGCCGTTCATCGAAGTGCAGCAACACACGCCGCCTTTTTCGCTAACGCAGACTTCTATCAACGCTCCGTCGGTCACAGCACCTCCGAAGACATCTGGCATCAACGTCTTGGACATCCTGGAAACAAAACACTTTACAACACAATACGAGCCGGAATGTTAGACAAAAACGCCCTACTTCTTCCCAACGGACGTGAACTCGAACGACCACGCGGCACCTGCTTCATCTGCCCGGAAGCAGATCTGCCTCACCAACCGTTCCCGTCACACCACAATCCGAACGCCCCCATTTATCAACCACTCGAGAAAGTCTACAGCGACATACTATACATACCTCGAACTGAAGGACGTGAAGATCTGAACTACGTCATCACTTTCATCGACGCCGCAACTCGATATGTCTGGCACGTCAACTTACCGTCACGAGACATGGCTCTAGAAGCCTTCACAGCCTGGCTACCTGTCGCTGAAAGAGAGTCGGGAGCGAAACTTGAAGAGTTTCCAGTCAGATGGCGCAAAGGAGTACCAATCAAACCACTTCACGCAGTTCTTGGCAGAAAGAGGCATCAAACGCCTCATCTCTCTTCCTTATGCTCATCAACAGCAGGGTGTGGTAGAAAGGATGAACAGGACCCTGCAGACAACCATGCGAAAGCTACTACGTGGAACTCGACTGCCCAACTCAGAATGGCCAGCAGCGATGGACCACGCTGTCCTCCTGCACAACTTGCTGTCCTCGTCTTCACTGCCCAACAACGCATCTCCGCACCTGTTGTGGACTGTGAAGCTGGGCAACACAAAAATGTTACGAGTTTTTGGATGTATGGTACAGTACCGCCCACACACTGCACGCGCAGGGAGATTCTCGCAACGTGCACAGTGGGGTCTACACCTCGGGCTGGCAAAACATTAAGAAGCCTGGCGAATCTTCGACGTCCACACAAAGGAAACAGTAGCAGCACGTGACGTTATCTTCTACGAGCGACTCACCCTCAACCATTACCTGGACAACATCGCACGCCACGTCGACCCCACCGGCGGATTTTCTGGTTCCCGAGCCTTCGCTTCACCCTCCGACGCTGCTGACTGGGAAGAAGAAAACGTCGACGGCGCCTCCGAAGCTGCTGGACCCCTTCCCTACTGCTCCGTCCCAATCCCCATGGACGAGGAAAATCCTCGCGACAGCAACAATGCCGACGTCTACTACCATTTCGCCGACAATGGTTACGTAACACCCCAACCCGTCAACGCCGAAATCTCTGAACGATATGGCCCCGGATTCGCACCTGATCCTGAAGCGGGAGACGAAGCAGTCTATCCCGAGGATCCCTTGCTGAACCGTCACACCCCCAGCGGACTCCAAGTCCTGGGACTCGTCGCTACAGTGCACGGGCCTTCGTCGCCACCTGAAGAGCCTCGCTCTGTCAAGCAGGCTCTGGGGGGGGAACACAAAGAAAAATGGCGCGAAGCCATGGAAAAGGAGTTAAAAGCTCTTTCAGACCGCAACACCTGGAAGATCGTCCCTGCATCACTCGCACAAGACAGACCCATTCTCTCCGGAAAATGGGTATTCCGGATCAAAACCAACTCCGACGGAACCATCGAACGATTTAAAGCTCGATGGGTCGTCCGCGGATTCGACCAAGAGTATGGTCGCGACTTCACTGAAACTTTTACACCAGTCAGTCGACATACTTCCCTACGTATACTCCTCGCCATCGCCGCCTCACGTCGCCGCCCACTACGACAAATCGATGTCGCCAACGCTTTTCTGTACGCCCCAGTCGACGCTGAAATCTTCGTCGAACAGCCCCACGGGTTCGTCGACGACCCTCCCCTTGTCTGCCAACTACTTAAATCACTATACGGAATTAAGCAGGCACCGCGACTCTGGCAGCAGTACCTGCACGCACGACTTAAACGCATCGGATTCAACCAACTGCCCCATGACCAGGGCATGTATCGCCTCACTCACGACAACGACTACGTCCTGCTAATCGTCTACGTCGACGATTTACTTTACATCGGGTCAACTATCACCATCGTCACCTGGTTCGAAAGGGAGCTTCAGACAGATCTCTCCCTCACAGTCTCACCCAATGTCACGCAGTACTTAGGGCTCAACATCCTCAACGAAGACAGCGCAATTCGTCTCAGCGCCTCAAAATACGCAAGCACCATCGCCGAACGCTTCTATATAACACCGACGCACGTCGCAACACCCTACAGTCACCTATCGCTCGATCCAACCGAAGAAACCAACCCACTGCCGTCTGCTGGAATCCAGGAATATCAACAGAAACTGGGCTGCCTACTCTTTGCCGCCGTTACGTGCCGACCGGACTTATCCTACAGCGCCAGTCAACTAGCGATCCTACCTCAAGTTCCCAGAACAACGTCACCTCAAGGAACTCAACCAGTGCCCTTCTCTACTTCATCTCGACGCCAACAGTTGGCTTAACATATCACAAAAGCACAACGACCGACCTAAAACTACTCGGCTACGTCGACGCTGATCATGCTGCTGATCGTGTCGATCGTCGCTCTCGCACCGGCTACATCTACCGTCTCGAGCCCGTCGGAACTATCTCCTGGCAATCAAGTAAGCAGGAACTCGTCGCACTATCATCTGCTGAAGCAGAGTATATTGCTCTCTGCACCGCTACCAAGGGAAGGTCTGTACCTGCGCGAACTGCTGGAAGAAGCGAAAATTGCGAAAGCACCCAGTTTCTCGCTTTTCTGCGACAACCAGTCCGTGATACGGATCGCGAACAAGAATGGCTCTGCCAACAGAACCAAGCATATCGCACTGCGATATTTCTTCGTGAAAGACGAAATTGAGAAGAAAAAACTCCAGCTGGACTACTGCCCGACCACCGAGATGGCAGCAGATTATCTCACCAAGAAGCTATCAAAACTTCCCTTGATGTTCTACTCCCCACTTTTGCCCCCTCTCCTCCCAGCATCCTCCAGTATCTACACTTCAGCAAGGTTTCGGGTTTAGGGTCATGACGCCCTACTTTGAGGCTCTTCCAACACCCCCTCTCCTGGACCCTCCCAACCGGCCCCCTCCCAGCATCTTCATCTACCGGGACTTGCCTTTGAACAACCATGACACATTATTTATAGCCCCTCAACTCCCCCACCGTCACACCCCACCCTCCCCCCCACACCCTCAACCCCCCACCACCAGCCCCCTGCCAGCATCCTCCAGTATCTGCACCTCAGCAAACACCAACATGACACCATTCTTTCAAGCCCCTCAACTCCCCCCTCCTCCCGCCTCCCCCCTCCCCCATCCCCCCTCCCCCCTCCCCCCTCCCCTCTCCTCCCTCCCCCCTTCCCCCCTCCCCCCTTCCCCCTTTCCCCCTCTCCCCTCTCCCCTCCCCCTTTCAACCCTAACCCCCCACCACGGGCCCCCTGCCTGCATCCTCTAATATTTGCACCTCAGCAAACACGGACATGACACCGTTCTTGAAGTACTTGCTCTCATCCTGCACCACATCCGCCCACGGCCGCCCCAAGATGTTGCTGTACCCCCAGTTGCTCGCATTGCGCCCAAAGCCCTTGGTCACGCGGTCCCGCAGGTAGTCAAACTGGCCCTCGGGCCACCTCTTGGCATAGAATATGAAGCTCACCTGGAGTAGCAGGGGGACAGGTGGGGGCAGTGGGGGAGGGAGGGGCCAGGGGGGAGCGGGGCAGGATGGGAGGGGCGGGAGGGGGGAAGGGGGTGAGAGATGACGGATGCAGGAAAGAGATGAGGGAATGGCTTTTCAGTTGCTCACGTTGCGCCCGAACCCCTTGGTCACTCGGTCCCGGAGATAGTCTAATTGGCCTTCCGGCCACTTCTTGGCCTAGAATATGAAGCTCACCTGACGAAAAAGAAGGGGGAAAGGGAAGAGGAGGGGGGTCGGGGGAAATGGGAGGGGAGAGGTGGAAGGGGACGGAGATGGAAGGGGGTTGGAGGAAAGTGGGGGGGAGAAGAAAGCAGGGAAGGAGGTGAAGAAAGACCAATTTAAATTGCTCGCATTGCGCCCACACCCCTTGGTCACGCCGTCACGAAGTTAGGCCTATCCAGCACCTCCTGGCACACGATATGGAGCTCACACGAGGACGGTGAAGCGCAAAGAGGGGAGGTGAGGGGGCGGGAAGAGGAAGGGGGGGAAGGGCGTAGGGAGGAAGGGGGGGAAGGGCGTAGGGAGGAAGGGGGGAACAGGGGGACGCGAAGGGAAAGGTAGGCAGAAAGGAAGGGGGGCAGGAAGGGGGGAGGGAAGGTGGAAGGGCAAGGGGACGGGGAGAAAGCGACAGATGGATGGAAGGGGCGTTGGGCATCTGAGATGGTTTTGGAAGGGAATATATTCAACCATTATTTCACTCGATACCTGAATCCCCGGATGAACACTGTGACTCTTCCCCAGGTGAGGGTGAATGTCCAGGTGCAGGTGCGGGTGAATGTCCAGAGACCCCTAATTCGGATGCTACCCTAGAGTGCCAGCACCATCATCCCCCTCCCTGCACCATCATCCCCCTCCCTGCACCATCATCCCCCTCCCTGCATCATCATCCCCCTCTCTGCATCATCATCCCCCTCTCTGCACCATCATCCCCCTCTCTGCAGTGGCCTGAGGTTGGAGTGAATCACACCTGGGCCTCAACTCAACCATACCTGTATTTCCGGCTGCACGCTGTGGCTGTTCTCCAAGTGAAGGTGGATGTCAAGTGTCTCCATGCCACCATCCCACCTGCCATGTCAAGCCATCCCACACACGACCTGCACCAGTCACCGTCACGCCATGGCTCACTCATACCTGTATTTCCGGCTGCACGCTGTGGCTGTTCTCCAGGTGAAGGTGGATGTCAAGTGTCTCCGTTCCATCATCCCGCCGCCCGTGTCGGGCTGACAGGTAGAACCGCTTCCCACCGATCCCAAACGTGGCAGACTCCACAGTTGCTGCCACTGCTAGCGCCTGGAGTGAGAGAGACGGGAGAAGGGAGGGGAGGGGAGGGGAGGGGAGGGGAGGGGAGGGGAGGGGAGGGGAGGGGAGGGGAGAGAAGGGGAAGGGAAGGAATGGGAGGGGAGGAGAGGGGAGGGGAGAGGGGGAAGAAAACAAGGTGAAAAGAAAAAGGGTGATTCTTTCAGTCAAATGAGTAAAACTTCTCTGTGGTCGTAAGCAACCAGGTTCGGCCCTTGCTCAACCCTAGTGGCACACAATGGCTGCCACTGTATGGACGAAGGCGAGCAAACTGAATTGAAACCAGAAAACAGCCTACCTGACATCAACAAAGAACCCACCTGAAACCTCTCCAGGTGAATATCGAAATACACATGGCCCACGGAGTTGCGGTTCCACCGGCGCTGCCAGAAGCGCCTGTGTGCGGCAGCCGTCTCGTTCATGAGTCTCAGGCGGCGCACCAGACTGTATGCTCGGAACCATGCTGCTTCCCTCACCTGCATGGAGGGGGGAAGGTGGAAGGAAAGGTGGGAGCAAATCAGGGGGAAAGAGGTGGGTGGAGGTAAAAGGAATGCAAAGGAGAAGGGTTCCATCGCCGCTGCCAGAAGCGCTAGTGATCCCGCCACACACACACACATGATCAACCCTAATAACTCACCAGCGCCTGGCTGTCCAGCTCCGGCACATTGAGTATCACATCTTCGAGGGCAACAAGGTACCCCCCCCCCACGCCCACCTGACAAGCTCACCATCGGCTCCAAGCACATACAACGCATTAAATCAACCCCAGCACCCCAGCACCTTGACTGACTTCTTCTTGCAAGCCTGACCAAGCCACCCTCTCAACAGCGCCTGGCACTCGGGGCTGTCCACCTGGGGCGCCTTGAGCACCACATCCCCCAGGGCAGCATGGTAACCCACCCCCGGCCCGCCAGGCAAGCTCACATTGTGCTCCCAACACCTGGTCCTGCTGGGCCTTGCCGCACTCAACTGAAACACCTCTCCCTCCCCTTCCCCCACCACCCGCCCCCTTCTCACCAGCGCCTGGGATGCCTTGGCCTGTACACCTTGGGTGCCTTGAGCACCACACAACCCACCAACCCGCCCTCCTGACACAACCTAAAAGCCCACCCACCCCAGCACCCGCCACTCACCAGCGCCTGGCACTCGGGGCTGTCCACCTCAGGCGCCTTGAGCACCACGTCCTCGAGGTCGTCCCCTGTCATGAGGGGGAAGCGCACGTGCTCTGCCAGACGCACTGCTGTCCGCCTGGTGGAGAGCGGTGGAGAGTGGTGGAGAGGGAAGAAGAGTATTGAGGGATGATGTGATGATCGCAGCACCACGTCCTCGAGGTCGTCCCCTGTCATGAGGGGGAAACGCACGTGCTCCGCCAGACGCACTGCTGCTCGCCTGCAATGGACGGTGGGGAGTGTTGGAGAGTGGTGGTGTGAGGTGGAGAGTCGTGGAGATGGAACAAGAGCGTTGAGGCATGATGGTGACGAGATAAGAGCACAGCACTACGTCTTTGGAGTCGCCTGTCACGAGGGTGAGGGTGAGGGTGAGGATGAGGGTGAGGATGAGGATGAGGGTGAGGGTGAGGGTGAGGGTGAGGGTGAGGATGAGGATGAGGATGAGGATGAGGGTGAGGGTGAGGGTGAGGATGAGGGTGAGGGTGAGGGTGAGGATGAGGATGAGGATGAGGATGAGGGTGAGGGTGAGGGTGAGGATGAGGGTGAGGGTGAGGGTGAAGGGCCCATGCTCCGTCAGCCGCACTGCTGTCCCTCACAGTCAGCTTGCCCCTCACCAGCAGCAAGAGAGGGCGTGTATGTGTATGTGTGTGCGCGCGTGCATGTACGTGCGTGAGAGGGGGCGAAGGGGGGAAATGAAGGGGGAAGGAAGGATTGTTGATAGGAAATGGCCCTGCCCTCGCTTGGGCGAAGCCTGACTTCGCAGCCAAGTGCGCGGGATGTGAGACCGGCTGCTATCAGTGGTCGACGCCGACTTGGGAGAGGAAGTCGACAACCTTGGTTGACCTCCGCGGCACCACTGTGAAGCCGCCGAAGAGGGTAGTCGGCGGCCGACTTCAGCCTAGGCGGTCGACAAAGGAGTTCGCAGACCTGACTGGCAAAGTCGACGCCGCCTTCGGGGTTTATCCGGTCGACCAGGGCGACGATGTTCTGCAGAGGGTGTCGCAGACGTCGCCCAGGAGGTTTTGGCGAAGTCGATCAGCGGGCTGATATCCCGAGGTCGACGTGGCACATCTGGCGCAACTGTCGAAACGTGGAAACGTGATCGACCTGGCTCCTGCACGACGTGTGTGATGGTGCACGACGTACACAGCGTCTACAAGCACTTGCGAAGTAGGTGCGCACACATGCGGTTGCAACGCTGTCAAGCCGTCTTGCTGCAGTGTTGGCAAGCCGCCCTGGTGCAAAGCTGGCCGGCCGCCGACTTGCAACGTTGGCAAGCCGCCTCCCAGCTGCGCTGGCACGGTGACGACTTGCAGTGCTGGCAGGCCGCGTCCGTGCTGCGCTGGAGGTCGACCTGTCTGTGTGCTAGGTTGCTAGGTCTCTGATGTAGTCATTGTTGCCATTCCTTTTTGCATCATTGTGCAACTCACTTTTGCTAGTGAAATCCTTGCCAAATTGCCCTGTGAATGCGCAAGCAGAGAGCACACGAGCAAACGCTACGATCACTCGTACCACCCGTGCCTTCTCCCGTAGTCCAGCTCCCGCTGTTAAGTGACTCTCCACAGGGATGAGGGGGAAATGAGGAGGAAGACAGTGGGGAAGACAAGACCACTCACTTCCTGTCGTCCAAATCATCATGGTGGTGCCTCAGCCACTCCATCATGGCATGAAACGCCGTGAGCTCGTCGCGCACATTCAGCTCATCACTGGCCAGCAGCGTCTGCACGCCCACCAGCGGCAGCTCCAGAAACTCCTCCCCCTTGTGCACGCGCTCCAGATCCCTAAAATGCGCCACCAGAAACCCCCGAGAAGCTTCTAGCAGCTGTGCCACCCCCCGGTGCGAGTGCATGGAGTCGGGGAGAGAGAGGTAGAGGCAGGCGGTGGGGACGGTCATGGGGAGGTTGACGAGGCGCTCGAGGCAGATCTTCATGCAGGAGGCGACGCCGAACTTGTCGGCCACGAGGTACATCTTGATGATGTCCTCCGGGTCGCTGCTGCCCTCCGCCATGTCGCCCGTGTAGATGAATCGCAGTAGGTCGATCACTGGGCCCTCCTCTGACGATGACAAGGGAGAGCGGGAGTGGGAAGAGGTGCAAGGGAGAGCGGGAGTGGGAAGAGGTGCAAGGGAGTGAGTGGAAGGAACATCGTGATTATGTCCTCTGAATTGCTGCTGCCCTCCGCCATGTCGCCCGTGTAGATGAAGCGCAGCAGGTCGATCACTGGGCCCTCCTCTGCGGGAGAAGGAGAAATGGGGGGAGGGGATTGGGGGGTGGGGTGCGACACAAGGTTAGAGTGAAAGGCAGGCAGGCTTGACAAAAAAGGCTTGTGGATACTTTCCTGTTTCCCAGCACCTTAGCTTGTGGCGGGGAAAAGCACGCGGAAGAAAGCACGCGGAAGAAAGCACGCGGAAGAAAGCACGCGGAAGAAAGCACGCGGAAGAAAGCACGCGGAAGCATGCTGGCTTGGCTCACAGCGCCTGCCTGTTGCAAGTATCTGGTGGAATGCGGGTCGCATACTTTACCTTCTGGCGAGACGTTGAGGACAACAGGGTTGTTCTGGCACGTCTCCTTGAAGCCACAGGTGAAGAGCGTGCGGAAGAAGGCAGACTTTGCTGCCAGCACCACCGAGGACAAATGCAGATTCGCCACTCTGTACCCACCACAACTCCCTATCGTCACACCGCCACCCCCCCCGCCGCCCAGATTTGCACCCCCGCTGCCGCCCAGATTCCCGCTACTGCCGCCCAGGTGAGCACTGATGCTCCACCGCCCCCCAAGCCGCACCCACCACACGTCCCTGTCCCCACCGCCGCCCCTCCCATTGGCCTTTGGCTGGACTCGAAAGGCGCAAGCCCTGTCGCTCCGAGATTGCCGAATCGAGGCGCTCTGGTTGTTGCTCCTCCAACCCCCCCAGCAACCCCTGCAGCAGCAATAGCAGCACTGCCAACAGCACTCGTACCAGCACCAACACTGGCAGCAGCTGCAGCTGCAGCTGCAGCAGTAACAGTAGCAGGAGCACCGGCTGCAGCAGAAGCGCCAGCAGCAGCAGCAGTTGCAGAAGCAGCGGCGGAAGCAGCAGGAGCAGCAGCAGTGGCACCACCAGTAGCACCGCTGGTGGTGGTGAAGGGGCTGTGAGGGCGGCTGCCGAGGCTAGCTCCTCCTGCTGCCGAGCCTCTTGTCAGAGCTGCCGCTTGGTCCGGTCCCAAACCTGGTACGGCTGGAAAACGCGTAAGGGAAGGTCGGGAGCGGTAAGAGGAGGGAGGCGGTGGGGGTGTTGGAGCAGGCAAAGGAGGGGTGGAGGGAGCAGGCAACAGGTATAAAGGCGGAGGGCGGGTGGGGGGAGGCACAGGCAGGAACGTACGGGGAATCGGGGGAAAAGAAGCGTTACAGTGGCAAACAGGGTTTGAGTAGAAAAAAACGTGTAAAGGCGAGCAAAAGCATCATGAAGGGCTGTACGAAATCATACAAAACGGCAACAGCAGGATGAAATGTCTCGTTTCTCTAGATTCAACAATTCTACAACCTACAACAGGCACACCTTTAGTGTCTACGCCATCAAACGCACCTTGAGAGTGATTATTCACAGCAGCAAGAAACGACAACTCGCCGCTCGCGCCTCTCCCTCCCCCTCGGCCATCAAAGGAGTACCTTCGCACTTGCCCCTCCACGTCTCGCCTTCCCTCCCCTTCCCCCTCCCCATCCCCCGTACCCCCGCTCCCCTCCCCCTCCGCCTCCCCCTCGCCTCCTTCCCCCGATAGGTCCATGAGATCCGCGCAATCGCTTCCGCCGCCTTCCCGCTCCATAGCCCCCGCTCCCCCTCCGATAGACGAACATCTCTTTCCTAGATGCCCGGCGACAGACGCGGCGGCTACGGCGGCGGCGGCGGCGGTGGGGGAAAGGGGGCTTCCGCTTCCGCGGGACGGAGAACCGCCGGAAGCAGCGCCGAAGCTTCCGCTGCTGCTGGAGCGACGGGGGGTCGTGGCTTCGTCAGGGCAAATCCGAAGCTGCACGATGCGATCTGCGAAGACAACAATTAAACGAATGGGGGAATGACACGTGGCACGGTCAGTGGTAGAAAAACAGAAATGGCGAACCGTCGAGGCTCATATGAAACCCGAACGTTTCAACACGACGCTTCATTCCACTCTACGTATCCGTTACATTCGCGAACCCGCGTGGACTTGCAATTGTACTTCTTTGGGCTATTAACCCTAGTTGGGACAGGGCAAATCCTGAAACAAACTCACACAGAAACTGCAAACGTTCCTCTCACGTTAGTGAGACTGGTGTGGTAAATAGCGGCTTCCGAGAGCATCGAGGATCTTTCACGCACCGTTTCGGGACAGACACACGTAGTGTTCAACCTTTCGTACGGATCAATCTTACGCTGCTTTAGCACTTACGGGGATTTCGGGCGTTTCCAACTTCGGGTCATCGGCACTGTTTGGGTCATCCGAGATCCTTGGAAGACCAATCAGGCGCATTTTAGGTACACTACTCGAATATCATTGGTCCTCCCATGACCCAAAGTGTACTGATGACCCAAACAGTGCCTTATGACCCGAAGTTGGAAACGCCCTTACAATAAGTAATTGAAACGTACTGCTTAGACCAGCACCCTACGGTCCGTTCATCTCCGCTTGATTCTACCCTCGTGTATGTGACTATAGCGCACCGGCAAAGTCGGCGTTGTTGAAGGCGAACCCGAAGTCGAAGCGCTTCGGGTCTTCGCCCATGTCGTCGCCATTCTCTCGCGAAGGCATCGCGACTGTCGCCACGGCGGTTGACGCCACGCCAGCTGCCTCGCAGCCTGACATGGTTACACCTTGGCCAATTACGAGCTAAATCAGCGAGAACGATACAACCGTGGTTACAGTCACAATAGGGTATTAATCAGCTAACATAGACCCCCGCGCTTAACTATCTGCGGTGCTGAGAGGTGGACGCAACGGGAGTACGTCAGACACGTCACTCTGCTAAGACGGGTAATGGCCGAAGGTGTGTGTCTGGGTCACATGTAACACATGTGTCTGCTAAGACGAGTAATGAAACCCGAATAAGATGCCAACGCTAGAGCCAGCGAAAGCGTCACGGTCGTTGACATAAGAGGAACAGGATGGTTGGTGGGTGGAGGTGGTTGTGTTGTGCGAAGGATTGTGAGTCGGTGAAGTGGGTTGTGCAAAGTCAAATATCACACCCTCCGTTCTGTGCTTTTCTGGTATGGATGGAAGCAGATGCGGCAGACACAAGCAAGCTGGGCAGGATCGACGATCTTGGAGTCAACAATTGGCAACGAGGTCAAGGACTGCATGGTCTGGATTTGTCACGGAGCTGTGCGGAAAGTGGCAACTGAAACCAGATCGCCGCTCCCAGACTCTCTTAGCTAAGGGTCAGTAGTTCTATATTGCTAAACCGATCTTGGCGGACACTCCAGACGTATGCCAGTGATGACACCAACTAACGGAAACTTTCCTGGTTTCGACCCCGAAATCGACGCTCGTGTGAACCCAACAGGCAAACAGCTGGAACTTGTGGTTGACATTTCCCTGACACGACACCAGCCACCGACAAACGTGGCAGTTTTGAATGTGGCTGTTTTAAAAAAGAAAAAAATCATTACAGAATCAACACTTGATGCATAATTACTTAGACTTCATATATCCAGTATTCTCAAGAGAAAGACACAGTAGGAATACAGTGCGACAAAGTCTAATATAACAGCACCTTAATATTACTCATGTCTGCAGACAAGAGAGAGAAGACAACATTCCAGTACCGACCAACCAGTGCTCGCTTTGTGACATGGGCACCTCAACCTAACTGCCACCAAGTGAGTATGTATGGCCCCACAAGAACCTTGTATCAGAGAAGAGAAGAAGGCAAAATGTGTTGGAAACAAAGTGACTTCAACGCTTCTGATGTGTCGATACACTGAACTGCACGTGAAGTGAACTACAATGCAGCAACGGTGAGTCAACAATCGGAGGTTGACAGAAAACGTAACCACTGGAGGTTACGCGAATGTCAAAGGTCGCTGACCTTTGACTTGACAAATACAGCGCGACAGCAAGGACAAACAACTGACTCGATACTGAGCAGTTTTTCGGGTCATCACTGTATCGAACCGCAACAGCAACAGTAAAACGGTTATTAGTTACACCCTTTCATATTCATTGTAATCCTATAAAAGGCTTATATTACTTCTTATAATTAATCTACTTTGCCGTCACATACTAGCACAAGGTGGTTGAGTACTTATCATTAAACGCTTCCGCAAACTACAGCATTCCTACCCAGTGTTTAGCCTTACAAAGATCTTAAGGGCTCTTCTCAGCCCAACACGGCATGAGAGCTATCAGGGCAAACTCAAATACTTCCAAGGCACCTACAACATCAGAAGGCATGGCAACAGAGAAGGAGAAAAGCTCCTCTAACGGCTGTCCCGGCACTACTACTCCACCTCTAGCCTCTGACCTACAGACAGAGGGAGGTACAACAACAAGACCAGCAGTTGAGTCTACTAAGACTCCCGCGAATCAAGCGACAGGCTTCAACTCTGTCGAGGAGAAAAGGCCCCGCCCTTGCTTGGGCAAAGCTGGCAATGCTTTTCGGAGCACAATGGTGTTCGTTTCGTGGTCATCGGCGACTTCAGGGACTTTTATCTCTGTTCGATGGGTCGATTTTCGAGAAGATGAAGTTGTTGAAATTGAAGTGTTGTTTCTGCTCTATGCAACTGCCCGTCGACAAGGCACTTGTTGAGGGGAGCAAATCGGCGTCGAAATCGGGCCTTGCGGGTCAACGAAATTGGAGAAAATAGAGTTTCGACGAGACGCTGGTCGACCGAATTAAGCTCGAACGAGGCATCGTCGAGCAGAGAAATTCTGGTCAAACACAGTTACTTGTTTCAAGAAATCATAATATACGCGAATTTCGACCAATCGGGAAACAGCAAATTTCGACCAATCAGAGAACTTTGGAAATTGTACTCCTCAGGAGATTTCGAATCAGTGAGGAAACTGAACCTGAAACACGTTTTTACTAACAGTAAAAACGTAAACAACTCTGAACGTTGGAAACCTGAGAAGCTGCCAACTCAGGAGAAAGACACATATGCTTGTCGTTTCACCTGGCGTTGCTAGCTCGGAAAGGTCGAGCGTTCGTCAAGGAACGTTTCTCCAGGGTTCATTGTGCTTGCTATTTGGGATCTCCTTCCTTGAACCATAATCTTGTTCTATCAATTTTTCCTTAGTGAAACTATGCTCGAATTCTACCAAGTCATTCAAACATTTGTCAAGAATCACTGCCAGAACTCTGACCGTTCGCCACACGGAATTCAGCTCTCCCTTAGAATAGAATTCTCGCATGGTGCGGTGAGCGTGGAACGACCCCGCGTTAGAACCTTCAGATTAGACAACAGTTCGTTCTATACTCCTTGGAACTCGTGTGCAGTGGGCGCGTGAGCATCCCCCTCCCCGTGCTGAAGCGGACGGCGCATCCGCCTCTCCCCGACCCGTGCATAACAAAGGTGATGGCGGCAATGTTGTCGGCGAAGGATGTGAAGAAACAGGAATGGATGAACTAGCAAATGAGTTGGGTACAAGTAGGAAAACCTAGAAGTGTTGTACCCCATATTGTCTAACCCACTACAGCCTACAAAGACTATAGCATATAAGTTTGACACACCCCCATAGGCAAAGTGGGGGAGAACAAGAGGTCACAAGACCAGTCAAGCAAAACAAAGCAAGCATAGGGTGGATCACAAAGTCACCACACAATCTGAGCACAAGAGCAAGGCCAAAAGGCCAGTTCACATGCAAGATCATATATATAAAGGAAAACAAGCAAGTGCAGGTATAGAAACAAACACAGTACAAGCAAGGATCAAGAAGTGAGCAAGTGAGGCCAAGTAGGCACAAGACCTAGCATCGTACAGAAGCGCTGATGATCACCAGGCGCAAGTGCCTTGGTAAAGATATCAGCAGTGTTGGCCTCAAAGGCCACGTAAGCAAGGCGCAGCTGACCACGCTGCTGCAGCTCACGAGCAAGGAAGTAGCGAAGAGCAATGTGCTTTGTTCTGTGCTCCAGTCTGTGCTCTCGACACAAGGCCAGCATGGCCTTGTTGTCTACGTACAGAACTGGAGGAGAATGAGGCTGCTCTCCTAGATCAGTCAGAAGGTAGGTGAGCCAGCGCAGCTCTTGTGCAGCCATAGCCCCCGCGTAGATCTCAGCCTCACAGCTGGAGCTGAGAACAGAGGACGAGCGGGTAGACCGCCACGAAACAGAGCCGGAGCCGAGGCTGAAGGTGTAACCCTGAGACGACGGCTGCGTAGTCTGATCGTCAGCCCAAGAAGCGTCGGCGTGACCTGTGAGGACCACTGGATGTCGCCCTCCAAGCACTAGCCCCATGCCCGACGTACTGCACAAGTAGCGCAACACCCTCTTCGCTGCAGCCATGTGCTCTGGTCGGTGTGTCCCAGGAGCAACATAGCGTGCCAAGATGCTAAGAGGGTATGCAAGGTCAGGTCGTGAGCATGTCATCAGGTACATGAGGCAGCCAACAAGCTCTGGGTACGGGCCACTCGGCTCTACGGACTCATCCGAAGGCAGAGTTGAGAGCGAGTGGCGAGTAGATAGAGGAGTGGCCTGAGGCGAGGAGTACGTGAAGTCGAAGTGCTGAAGGACCTGCTGCACCATGTGTGACTGAGTCAGGGTAATGGTGCGCTGTGCTTTGTCCCGGGTGACCTGCAAGCCAAGGTAGCTGCGCAGTTCACCCAGGTCTGTGCACGTGTGTCTCTTCTGCAGCTCAGACTTCACGTGGGCTAGTCCAGCAGTGTCATCTGTGGCAAAGACCAAGTCGTCGATGTACACGAGGACGTAGAACGGCGGCAGAGCGGTGTCAGTGCGTAGAAACTGCGACGGGTCAGCAGTAGAAGGAGCAAACCCAAGAGCCGCAAGTGTAGTCCTCACTGTGTCGTGCCACTCACGAGGTGCCTGGCGGAGACCGTAGACTGGCCGATGGAGGCTCCACTGGGTGCCAGGAGGAAACGACCCAGTGAAGCCAGGTGGGCGGCGCAGCCAGATCTCCTCGTGCAGGCTGCCCTGCTAGAAAGCTGTGCTGAAGTCAGGAGAGTGAAGCTCGTAGTCGCGCTGAGCAGCAACGTGCAGTAGAACCTGAAATGTAGTCATCTTCGAGGTCGGGGAGAAGGTCTGAAAGTAGTCAACTCCCTGTCACTGACTGAAACCTCGAGCGACGTAACGCGCCTTGAAGACAGGCGGAGAACCCGGCGGCCGCTTCACCCTGAAAATCCACATGCCACTGACGATGTTCGCCCCAGGCGGGGGAACCTCGTCGACGTAGGTGCCTGTGGACTTCCAGGAAGCCATCTCTGCATCCATGGCTGCCTGCCACTGAGAGGAGTAGGGACCCTCGATCGCCTCAGCGTATAATCGAGGAGTCGGGATGTCTGGTGCATCCGGGTCTCCCTCAGGGGCAAGCAGCGTGGACACGAGATGAGGCAAAGAAGCAGCAAAACACTGGAACTCCTCCTGTCTGTCCTTAAGGACGTCCGTGCTAAGCGCACACTCACCCCCGACGGACGGAGGACAGACAGACGCAGACTCAGCAACAAGACTAGCAGCGTAGTCGAGACGATAGCGAGCAGCAAAGTCGACAAGCTCAGCAACTAGGGCAGACGCAGCAGTGGACGCAAGAGAAGGGTCAGTGACAACGGTAGCC